TTATAGTCGTGTTAGGTGTTGCGATACTCTCACAAAGATTGTTCGAACTTCGCTAAGAACGCGCTGCGAATTATAATCTAGTGCTCGTTCACGAACTAGCGTTCAGCGCGACGAACCTAGATTGGCATGCTTTATTCTCTTCACATGCCGATCGTTTCTTTGAAATGTTGGTACTATGGGCCTAGGGATAGGAGAGTTGATTGAGCATCATACATGATCGTTGATAGTTTTTCGTTCGCATTAAAACTTGTGCGTAGCTCCCTGTCGGACCGTTCGGCCGAGAGTGCGTGGTCACCGCATTGGCGCGCGCGCGTGGCCACAGGCTGGCGGGAGCTGCCCTCGGTCTGGCCACGGTGTGGCCGTGCCTTGGTTAGCCCTGGCTGCGACGCCTGCTGCTGGCCGATGGCCTCGGTACTCCCCTCGACTGCCGCTGCCATCGGGCCTGGCGTGGTCGTAACCGCTCTCCGCCAGGCGCGAGCTGCTGTCGACCGTAATGCCATCCATGCACATGTACAGGGAGGTGCCCTTGTCCGTTGTCGTTCGGTCACTACAGCGCTCGCTCTCCGCCACTCATCTCACCTACCTCGCCCTTGTCCGACGCGCGTGAGAGGACCGAGCCGCTGCTACCTACTTCCCTCTCTGCCTCACCCTCGCTCTCCCTCTCCTGGGTCTCTCCCTTGCTCTGTTGCTCACAAGCACATGGCATGGCTACGGGGTCGAGCCTTGTACTACTCCCCTCACAACCTGCCGAGCTCCTACACTCCCACCCCCACCCCCTCGTTCTTGCTGCGAGCCAAGTCTACCATGGCCAGGGAAGCTTCCACGGCCACCGCGTGCGTGGCGGGCCACTACCGGCTGCGCCCGACCAAGCCGCCGCCACCACCGCCTCTGCCTATTCTTCCTCTTTGCCTGGCGCACCTTGGCCGCGTCGGAGATCGCCGGAGCCGCCCCGGCGTCGGGCCGCCGCCGCCTCTATTGTGCGTGTGTGCGACCACGTCACCGCGGGCCACCTCCAGGCGAGCCACATCCTACCTAGGCGGGTGCGGGTGGCTGCCGTGGCCCCTGCGACAACACCGCCCGCCGGTGAGCCGCCCCTTCAGGCGGGAATCGGCCGGCGCACTGCCTCCCCTGCTCGCTGCTATGCTCTGATTCAAGAGAAGGGCCTCGGGTGAGAATAGAAACAAGTCCATGGTTCCCAATGCAAATCCATGACTCATATGAATAGTGATGCATAGTGTGTGTTGTACTGCGGGTTGGTTTAGTGAAATCCCAAGGGCTTTAGGGCAAAGTGTTTGTCCTATTAGGCTTTTTTTTCTTTTTCTTTTATGATTAAATCGGCTAAAACTTTGTAAAATCATAGTAATTAGTAGAAAAACATAAAAAGGAAAATAAATATGTTTTGGAATCCTTGTGACTATCTTTATGCAGTAGATATATTATGTCATGTGCTTTAGTATGAAGTTTTTCGTGTAGGTGTAATCTAGCCTTTTGTGTATTTAATAAAGCATGTTGTATTAGTCCAAATGTAGTGAAATTTTTATGGTAGACTAGTGTGGATGTGTTTGTGCTATGGTAAAAGTTTCATGTTTAGTGGATGCTTAATTACTGAGTTATTGATTTATCATGTGTCATATGCTTAATTGCAATTAGATCTTGATTATGTTGTAGTAATTAAATTGCTCGTTCAAAAATTATGATATTCACACAGTAGCTATGTTTAGTTATCGATGTATGTTTAGTAGGTTGAATTGGCTTGTACTTGTGTGTTTTAATATATAAAAATACAAAGTTGCTTGTTGATGATTAGCTACCCTAGTTACTCGACGACGTGTTGCTTGTCTTTTAGCATTTGTAAATGCCTGTGTCTATGCTTGTTTGACCAAAGCATGCATTGCATCTTTACATATCATAATAGGAATGATGATAGGTCGTGGAACCAACTAGGTAGCTGGAAAGATGGTGCGATAGATCATGTCACGAAGATGGAATGCTAACTTTCGGTTATATTTTACCCAGACAAGCCCCGGTGCATAACCCCTATTATTCTACACTTTAATTTATGCTTGTGCATTAAGTTTAAGGAGTTGAATGAAACCCACTTACATATATATATACATATATATCCTTATCCTATGAGTCTTACTAGTATGACAGGATCGTGTAGATTGCTATGCTACAAGACTCTAGTAGAAGTCGAGTGATTACCTGTCATTCGCGAGAGATAGAAAAGATATTATTACTGCTATTATATTATTATCACCTAGAAAAATATATATGAATGATAATTGGAGACCGGGCGGAATGGTACTTTGGATCTGGACTTGGTTTGGCATTCGAGCGAGGCTCGGGTTGCATTTGTTCCGCCTGTGTCGATTAAGGATCGGCCGTTGCATTGGATTCCAGTCAGGTCATAGACTTATTATCCTGAACACATACTTGTTTATGGGAGCAGGAAAGTCTTGTTGCTCTCTTGTCGTGGGTTCCGGCTCTTTCCAGACCGACTGATTGTAGGCGGGGATGGTGGATGTCTAAGCACCACACTGACTCCGGGACTCAGGTGTGGGGGCTTGGAGTCCAAGTTTGGACGGGGACCTGGACCCTTGATAGGACAGTGGTGGGTTGGTCCTGCTTGTGCCTAGGGTACAAGCGGGGCATGTGTTTCGGGGTACCCAGCTAGGCACATTGATTCGCGAATCGTCGGGTAATCCGGTATGACTTGTCTACAATCTAGCACCGTAGTAAGAACTGGAATATGAAAGATGAAAAAATGGTTCTGATTGCTTACCACCTGCTTGAAAGTAGCACAGGTGGTTACATAGAATTGTTAGTTAATAAACTAATGATGACTGCTAATGAAATTGAATATAAGGATGCACGCTTAGTAATGCTTCCTGCAGATGCAATAAACCCACAAGTCAGATAGCCTTACATATCCTTGGAGTCTTCTCTTTCCTCCTGACGGGTAAGTCTTGCGGAGTACAATTGAGTACTCAGGGTTTGTTCTACCCTGTTTCAGGTGACAGGAACATGTGGAGCTGACACTTGTGTGTGGAAATTTCCTGGTGGGCTCAGCGAGAATTTTCTTAACGTTGCGGACATAGAGTTTATTTAAAACTTTCAACCAAAATATTTTACAATGGAAAAACTTATAACCTGTTATGATGTATATAACGGATCATCATGTTAATGTTTGACTTGTCATTAAATGATTTTATTTCTGCTGAAACTCTGATAACATGGTTATATTCCGCTGTTATAAACAATAAATATTATACTCTGATGTTGCACGAAAAGTGATATAAGAAATGGCTAAAATGTTGTAAACTTTATTCTCTTATTTGTGATCCTGATGGAAAAATGTGGATTTTTGGGTTCTCCCATAGGGTGTGCTCGACGGAACTGCCTGGTGTAACTCATCTTCGGGGTGCTTAGTGTCTAGTGGAAGACAAGCGCCTCCGTAAGTGTGCTATTTCGGACGATTTTGCCACACGCACGGAGTCGCGAACGCCCGGTAGGTGCAACAGCAAGCGCGTGGTGGGCGGGCAGACGTAGCAGGCACGAGCAGGCGCAGCAGCTTGTGCACGAGACGAGGTAGGCGCGGTGTCCGAACGGAGGCTAGCGTCTGAACGTCCAAGCGCCAGCCATTCCGTTTATTTATCACCCTTCAAGGGGCACAACGTCGGCACTTTGTTGCAAATATCTCTTTTGGAAACGGAAAATGATAATTATATCGCCATATAATGTTTTGCGAATTGCAATTGTTAAATCCTTTTAAGTAGCAATTATATCTTCAGCACTTTAGTCATATGTCTCATGCTAGGGAACCAAGAATGGCGATGGTAGCTAATAACTAGCTACTGTATATAGGAGTAGATTACTACACAACTGTGGGTTCAAAAAGGGCGAACCGAATTGCTGTGATAACAAGAAAACGTTGACCTGATTAGCTGCACGCTAAATGACATACCGACGATCTTCATGTTGATGGCTGGGTAATTCTTTTGAAGTTCAGGAACTGTTTAGTGGTTGTTATCCCTGCGATGGATTGTTTTTCTGTCTGTTACTCTGCGGCGGTCTTTTGTAGTTCGTCTGAAGCAGGCGACTTTCGTTTCTATGTAAGGCGGAAATCGTTATATCCTTCCGCTCTTTTTCTCTCTGTAATACTCTATAACATTGTATTTCCATTGCTTTCAATGGAAACGGGTGTTCCTAGTGTAAAAAATGATGCACGCTAAACAGTAAAGGCCTCTTTGGCACGGCTTATGCCGGCTTCGGCTTCATCTATTTTGCGTAAATCGAGACATTATAGCGTGAAACCGTTTTATAAGCCGGGGTTAAAATGAACTAGAAGCCAAGAAAAGCCAGTTTTTCTGGCTTCACCGTCTTTGGCTTCACCGGTGAAGCCGTTTTTGATGAGCCGTGCCAATGGAGACTTAAATAGTGATACAGGGACTATTCGCTTCAGCTATAACTGCAGTTGCTGTTGCTGTTGTTGTTGTTGTTTACACTGTAACATATGAGATGCAGCCACGAGCCACAGCTACATCAACAGCCGTTCAGCTTGTTCGCTTGGTCGTATTCGGCTGGCTTATAAGCCAACGAATAGTATTTTTCTCTCACATCAAACCAGCCAATGGTATTTTCAGCTATGGCTTATAAACCAAACCAACCCAAACGAACAAGGTCTTATTTGGATGTATGTGTATCCATCTTAATTCACACGTGAATTCCACTTCAATCCACTTCTACGCATGTGATTTGAGATAAATACATGCGCATCCAAACGAAGCCTAAAAATGGCTGCCTAACATGTCCAAAATCATTTAACGGTTGAAGTTTGTTTCATGTATTATTCTTTCAGGAGGAAACTATATATAGTCCATTCTCTAAAAAATTAACAATTATCGTCCATGTGAAACTAGAAGAGATCGTGGCTGCAGCCTTGCCTAAGACATGCTTGGTAAACAAGTGACGAAGCGAAAGAGCGCCGGATATGCAGATTAGCCGATGTTGACCGCGCCGGGCAGGCCGTGCTCCTGGGCGGCGGCGGCGGCGGTGGCAGGGGTGGGGGTGGCGCAGTCACCGTCGGTCGGCACGTTGGAGCAGCTCCCCGGCGGCGCCTCCACTTGCTCGTGCACGTGCGGCGGCACCATCGGAGACGTGAGCACCGGCGCCATGGCGTCCTGCATCTGGATGACACCGTATCTAGCCAGCTCAGGTGAAAGCAAAGCAGCAGTGGTCGAAGTCGAACTGGACGGTCCTGATCCGTGCCACGTCACCTGGTCGTCGAGTGGGAAGGGCGTGGACGGGATGAGCGCGGAGAGGAGCTCCGCCGACGTGTACGCCTGCTGCCAGTCGTCGCTGGGGCCCTGCTGGTCCACGTGGCACATCGAGGCTATTCCCGGGTCCACCCCTCCCACGACCGGGTCCCGCCGCATCGAGTCGAAGATCACCTGATCCCTGTTGGCAAGGAACCACCAGCATGACTTGCATGAGCTCACAACAATCATGCATGGGCTCGGCCCATATATATAGCTGAGGAATGTATGTGGCCCATCCGATGGAATTTGGGCTACCTGAAGGACAAGATCGGGTCCGGCCCGGCAAAGATCGACGACGTCGGCAGCCCGTCGGCGAACCACGAGGACACGTCGCCGCCGAACGCGTTGACGCCCAGGTCCCCTTGCTGCTCCTCTTCGTGCTGCTGCTGCTGCTGCGGCGGCGGCGGCGGCAGGCCGAACACCTGCACTCATGCATGGGTAGATCTTTCTCCATGTTAGTTACGTACTCCACTAATTACTGTTATTACTACTCGCTGAACCTAATCAGCAGCAGTAATTACGTGCCCAATCCATGATTATGAATCAAAGACGATGTGAATGTGATCATCAGACTCGATCACGTCACGTACGTGGTGCATGTCGGAGGGCGACGGCTCGAACGGGGCCATGTGGTTGCACAGCAAATATTTCTGCAGTGAATGCACGCATGTACGGCGGTTAATATAACGGCTGCGAGAAATAATCCGGTCATTTGTTATGTGCTCGTTTACGCTACCTTGATCCAAAATTAACATCAGATTTGTCATCATTAAAAAAACAAAGTTGTAGATCTCAAATGATTTCAAATGAAATAGTCGTCAACTACAAAGTTGTATTGGTTTTAGTCATTTCTCCGTTCAAGTTCATTTGAACAATTCAAGAGATTTGAATTTTAAATATGAGAACTTCAAAATTAAGAAAATAGTTAAATTTCTAAAAAAATCATAACTAATTTATTTTAAATAGGTAGATTATATTTTTAGAAAAGTTCTAGTACCAATTTCATAGTTTTCTGATTCAGAAATAATTACTTATGATTTTTAGCTTTTACTTATTATTTTATTATATTTAGAAAATACATATATACTCAAAACCAGCTTCAAAACTAGCCAAGGGCCAAAGTTGTCTAATTTTAATAGTTGGATGACTGCGCATTTCTAGTTTTGAAGTTCGAGGCCTAAATCCAAACAACTAACCTTCCGCTCCTCGACACGGGTGAGGGTGTCCATGAGGAATTTCTCGCATGTCTCAACCTCATTCATCGACGCCAACACCACCGGATCTGGCTGAAACATCCTAAAAGACAATGTGATGGATTTAAATGGACTAAAAATATGAACTTATATTTAGAAGCTTTAAGAAGATTCTCAAATTATCTTCGTGACAAAGGAAAATATACTACTCATTCTTCATGATGAAGTGAAGAAGGTTCTAGCGCTAGATATTTATACTGGTAGAAAATAGATAAATAATTTTTTATAGTAATAATATCCCTCAGAAAACTTGATGTTTTAGGATTTTTTTAAATAGATTAATGTTGAATCAAAATTACCCATGTAGCCCTATCTATTGAAGGTGAACCATGCTAATTAAGAAATAAATTGCTAATTAAAAGGAATGTATAGATGCATGCAGACCATAATCTCAAGTTTTTAAGGGCCCAAGCTAGCTCCAATAGCTAAAACATCAAGTTTTTGGACAAAATTTAAAGACTAAAACATCAAGTTTCTAGAATGGAAAGAATATTTTATTTATATGTGATATTTTGGCTAGTTGCCACTAACAGTTATAACACTATGTAGCGCTGTGCCCTCCAACCTTAACATGAAAAACCAAATACATGCTGCAGTTCTGATCATGAGTTTAACAATTTTGTTCCACACCTACCCCTTTTATGGTCATGTGTGTGGCTATGACCATGAATTCTACCATCTATTAGCCCATGTATCTTTTTTTTCAAAGAACCAGCAACAAGAGCATGCCGGGTATGTATTAATAGAGAAGAAGTTTTACAAAAATTAATTAAAAAGAAAAATAAAACAAAACCCTCACGAAGGAGGCAACAAGAAGATCACCACCACATGAAAGCACAGCACCGGCGAGCCTCATAAGCAACAACCGTCGAACGTCACTTTGCACACCACGGAGAACAAGCGAACAAGCCCATGTATCCAAATACGCTCTAGATAGTTTTAGGAAACTAACTATTTATCAGCTATCAATTAAGTCTACGCTGTTAGTTATAGGCACGGATGGTTTTATCACGGTTTGCAATGTGCTGCATCTTTTGTTTCGAACCAAAGGTGTTGCATCTTTAAACGTGGAAAACGCATGCATTGTAGGGAGTTTGTGTAGAACCTAAGTCGCTCCTCCAAGACTTGCAGCTGGTGTTGGTATGTCCTGATCTCCTGCTGAAGCTCCTGTACGTGTAAGATTACACACAGAGAAAGAAAAACAAATAATCAGGGATATCCATGTTTTGAGTAAAAAATATGTATATATTGTCTTTTGTCAGAAGATGGTGAGTCGCATGATGAGATAGGTTATTACCTCTACGTTGGAGTTTACTGGCCCTTTACTGTTTCATCAAGGTATTCATCGAATAATACAATGCATCAGAGAGAAACAACAAGCATCAATGAGAAAAAGAGATTCAAAAATAATTGAAGTAAATATAAAGGAAGATTATATCATCAACATTTGAGAGAGAGAGTGAGATATACTTGGGTGCAAGTTGTTCGGCTATGTCACCCTCGCATTTGAGTTGTGTAAGCATCTTGATCAGATACTGTATTTGGATACATACATGTGTTAAGATGATTAAAAAAATCAGTTAACGAGCAAAGGTTAATGTCCAAATACAGTATCTGATACGTCACCTCTCTATTCCGAACGACTCTGCATCACAGCAAGCAATAATCAGAGAACAAAATAGTCATAACAAACTTGTTGTGTTTGCCTTAAGAACATGAGAGAAGGTTCTTTCGCAATACTAATACTAATATAAGAAAGAGGGCCGCATGCAATTGGGATCCGCGCGAGCGAACTGAACGTACCCTCCCCTGTCGTGCTCCGGGAGATTGATGTACCTCGTGATCACGTCCTCGATCCTGCCATATATATATTTAAGTAAAATTAACAAATGTGATTAAATTTTGCCTGAAATCGTCGACAGGCACACATGCATACTACATGTTACCGAATTCGGCCGGAGCAGGTAAAAGAGAGAATGTAACTAAAGAAAGAAAAGGCGCTCGGCAACCGGACCTGCGCCTGCCGGAGAAGTGGCTCAGACGATTGGAGGGGGAGAACATGATGAGCGCGATGTCGATGTCGCAGAGGACGGAGAGCTCGTACGCCTTCTTGATGAGGCCATTCCGCCGCTTCGAGAAGGTCACCTGCCGGTTCGTGTTGTTCTCGATCCTCTTGATCTGCAGCTTCACGCGGCCCATAATGCCTGTGCTGACGCTGATGCAATCACTCTAGATTATTGCAGGGGACGGAAGAGGAGGGCTACCGCGCCGGGGATGAAGAGGTAGCCCGCCCGCTTGGGGTCGGTGGTGGCTTTGTAAGGAGGAGAGAATTTGTCGGGAGCAACAAACGGCGCAAAAGCTACACCTGTATAGACGACTATAGTGCCGCGCAAGTCACAAGTGTATGTGTACCTACGTCTCGCTCTGTGTAGATGATAGCAAAAAAAAATTGGTAGCTGTAGTCTCCTGTTGCAAAACTGAATGCGTGTGAAAAGGTCAAAAGGACCGCGTCACGGGTGGGCGCCATGCATGCATGCATTGTGCAAGAGAGATATCAAAGCTTTATCAAAAGGTTAGTCTTGTTAATTTCCTTCATGTGTTTGTTATTTCTGGTTGTATTCCGAATAATGTTGTCTGCTGAATCGTCGTTATGATGATCGCATAAAGAGGTGCTTTAATGTCAAATCACAAAATAATAACCTCTACCTGTAGTCCGTATCCACGCTGGTATGTGCAATAGATATATGTTATGTATTTGGTTGATTTTACAAACACCAAATCAACATTGGCATTTCGTCAAACACTCTCAGTGCATTGCGTCACCAACACCATGCCACCAAGCAACAGCTGTCGTCGTCGATGCAGCAGTACCACTCTGACCATGACGAGTTGTTGGTGCTTCTTGCCGTTAGTTCTTGCCCTACTAGCTCTCTTCTCACCGGCCGGCGGCCGCCCTTGCATCCGGTGGAGGAGATCGAGAAGCATGTGCACATCCACGTGTAGGTGCATGAATGGAACATGACATGAGTTAGACCTCCCCTACACTTGGATTTTTGTGTCACTTGATGCAAAAAATCAAGTTAATCAAGTGTGCATTGTAGGAGTCTCTTTGAAATGTACTCTATTGCTAAACAGTATCAATGTGTTAGAGTTGATGTAACCCCATTTTCTCGGACATTGTATGGCTATTCATTCTTTTTTATTTCAATCCGGAATGGTTAGTGACAAAAAAATACCCAAAGATAATTTGTTCTGAAAATGTGTCTTGCTACTTTTCTTTTATTAAGTGAAATACTAAAGGAAAATTTTATTAGAAAAGAGGGTGAAAGCCCAGGTTATCTCTCGATAGTGCTTTGTTTAAACTCAAAAGCTTGGCCCATGAAAAACCTTCAAATTGTAGCTAACATTGGAGATGTGCTTGCCCTCTCCATCACTAAACTTTGTAGATCTAGCTACAAGACTGCCAAATAACTACGAGATTTGTAAATTTTTATCTACGTGTTATATTGAAACTCTAGTGCTTATTATATGTTTTATGCAAAATTATTATATTTTATTTTTATCGGGTTCATAAACCCGGGGTCCTTCGAGGACCGGCTTCTACGCCAGGGCTCGGCCCAGGAAAACAGCATGTAGATCGTGGGCCGGCCCAAGAGCCTAAGACACGATGGGCCGGAGGGACAGTCCGGTCGCCGACTGGAAGGTCTACCCAAAAACAGGCGCTCGCTCGTCAACCTCTCCAGCCCACCTCTCCGACCGGAGCATTCGCTTGGGGCACCAGCTACCTCCGGGCGATCTCGCTAATCAGAAAGGCCTGGCCCAAAGCACCGCTTCCTACTCCGACCCCGCGTCTCCGACCGGGGACCCCGTAGGAAGCCTGCTTACCACTCTTCTTCGACTGACGCGGCCAGGGCCGACTAGGGCCATCCGACCGGGGACACCCGCTCGGAAGGGACCAGGGGCAAACGGAGAAGGCAGTGCACAAAGTCAAACCTCGATACCGGGACCATACCCTGTACGCCTGCAGGAATAGTGCTCCTCAACCGTCCTGACACAAACAGTATTGTAGGCGCCGACAATTGTGTCTATAGTATTGTAGGCGCCATCGGGCGCCCATACAGCAATAAGCCTCCCACATACCTCTAGGCATCGATAGTGGGCGCTATGGTTCACCATACCTGGTACACGGGGTAGGGCTCCTCACACACCAATAGTATTTTATAGGTACCGACATCTACCCTTCCTAAAGAAGCCAACACAACCTCCCATGTGCACCTGACATTCTACAGTGACATCAACAGTATCCGTACTCTCTTCTTCTCACCTGTAAAGCCATCCCTTTTATCTATAAAAAGAGAATGCGCTCCCTCTAACAAAAGAGGTCCACTTCTTCAAGTTCAGGTTCACTAGATCGATAGCTCAAAAACCCCTCAAGCACACGCTTGAACACCTAGCTCATAGCGGAGTTCCGGTCGCCCTCAGCCCTTCCGATCGGACCCGACCAGGCCTCTCGTACACCCCTCCTTTCTCCTTCTCGTTTGTAACCCCACTATAGACTTTGAGCACCTAGGCTCAAGAATAAAGTCACCGATCGACCCACACTGGACGTAGGGCATGTTGTCTGAACCAGTATAAATCCTGTGTCATTGAGTGCTAGGCCACCTCCGATCACAACGTACAGCAAAACTAAAAATATTCACTAGTTGGTCACTTTTTGTACCGACAGTTGGCGCCGTCTGTGGGGAAGATGATGTACGTTCAACGCTTTGTGATCATCGGATGGCCCATTTTTCCGCCACCACCACTGTGGCGGGCTCGGGCGATACGATTAACCTTGGCTCACTGGAGTATCCCGCACTCTCGCCTACGGGGATGCGGGTTCCACTCATTTTCGAGCCATCCCAGGCCTTCCTCTTCGGAAGCTTGGACTTCGTCGCCGACCGGCTTGGCGTACTCCACCTCCACGAGGAGACTCGCGACCCGGCACCCGTCGGAGAGACATTCTCCATCGACTCTGGGACACACGACCTCAACGGCGTGGCATCTGCGCTTCGTTCCGAGCAAACTCTCTGCTCAAACCCCACTGTAAGTAATACACGTACATTTATTCGCCCTTTATTTACTACCTCCCACCGATCATCCGGAGGGACTGCACCACCCATGCCACGAACACCGTACGTTCGGTTCCCCCATGGCCTCGCGTCCTCCGTAGACGCTTATGCTCGGGGGCTCCAAAGAACGCTGGCACCATCCCCCCTCACGTCCGAATTCATAGGAATGGCAGGCTCCGCTCCTGTCGTTTCCCACGAACTCCCAGATAACGAGGGTGAGAGCGATGGTTCCAGCATCGGTGATGTAGCGTCCCGCCACCATCCGTCCTAGGAATGCGCTATGGCGGATGGTCCAGCACAACCGCCAGTGGTTGCCGAGTCCGCGCAAACTCACACCCCTCCGGACACGCGTGCGGAGGCCCTCACATTTGCGCAAGCACACACCGAGGAACTACGACAACGACAGCAGAACCCGCCACCTGCGCTGGCACGATCGGTGCGGCACGTTGCGCCCCATGCGCGTGGCCCGGCGGGCGGCGCCCAGGGTCGCACTCGTCAGGTCCAGCGCGACATTTTGAATGAGGGGAACGACATCCCACAATTCACCCAAGCCGGCCAGAACATCGCTACTCCAGCAATGCTTTTGCGCGGCATTCCCGAGCCCGTCGACCCTTAGGAATGGGCCGTCTACCGAAACCTCTGGGTTCTAGTAGAGGCCGCCACCGTCTAGTAGGCAGAAAGCTCCGCGTCGCGACTCTGACCCGCACCCTCTCTCCCCACCAGGGGGACGGGGACGCGCCAACCGGATCGCTCCATTCGCTCATCGCCGCAGCCATCAGGCTTAGCTCGGGGTGCGGCAGCCATGCCACGGTCCAACCGGGCGCCTGCTCCACATCGACCGCCGGCACGCGAGCGGCCTGATCCGCACTAGGATGCCCGTAGCATCATCAGCGACCGGCATCAGGCCCGACATGATAACAATGTCCGCCGTACGATGGCAGGCGACATGGATCCTAGCCAAACCATCGAGGGAAGCGGTGAAACGTGCCCCAGGCGCGGTCGCTGGCCGAACGACCAGAGCCCTAGCCCTGAGGGCCCGGGGCCATGGGCCTTCAGCCGGCGCATCCGGAGAGCACCGTTCCCACAACGTTTCCGGCCTCCCTCCAACATCACCAAATACACTGGGGAGACGAACCCAGGCATTTGGCTCGAAGACTTCCGGCTCACCTATCGAGCCAGATGAGTGGATGACGACTACTTCATCATCCAATATCTTCCCATTTACGTGGTGGAACATGTTCGGGCATGGCTCGAATTCCTTCCACACGACAGCATCCGCGACTGGGCGGACCTCAAGAGGGTCTTTGTTAGGAATTTCTAGGGGAAGTACGTCCGCTCGGGAAACTCCTGGGACCTCAAGAGCTGTCAGCAGGAGCCCAGTGAATCCCTGTGGGATTATATCCACAGATTTTCTCAACGATGCAACTCCCTCCCAGATGTCGTCGACGTAGACGTCATCAGCGCATTCCTCTCTGGGACAAACTGCGAGTCCTTGATCCACAAGCTTCGCTGCCTAAAACCCTATACCACCCGTGATCTGCTCAACATTGCCACCAACCACGCCTCTGGCGAGGAGGCGGTCGGAGCGGTCTTCAGCGGAGGCCGGGACAAAAGCAAGCCCAAGCGCATGGATCCGGACGAAGGCCCCTCCACTCAGAGAGGCAAGAAGAACAAGAAGGATCGGCGCCGATCGGACAGCACCGCGTTGGTCGCCACGGCTGATCACACACCCAGGCAGCCCCAACAGGGTCTACCTGACCACTTCAACAAACTCATGAATGGTCCGTGCCTGAACCACGCCTACCCCGTCAAACACCTCTATAAGGAGTGCGAGCTCCTCAAACGCTTCCTCCGACAGGCCGGCGTGTCAAAGGAGGGAGATGGCAAGGACCCAGCAGCCAAGAGAGGAGGCGTGGCAGGCAAGGACGGCGACGATTTCCCTGAGCCCGAGGAGTGCATCATGATCTTCGGAGGGTCCGACGCCGTTTGGACTAAACGCCAGCATAAGGTACGCTACAGGGAGGCGTGCGCCGCCGAGATGGCCGTCCCCTCCTTCCTTAGCTGGTTGGAGTCCCCGATCACCTTTGA